TTCAACCCTTATCATTATTGTGCACTAAATCAAGGTACTGGGCTGTAGGGGTCACACAGAATTTCTCGCCATTGCAGCAGGCCTCCGGTTGTATTGCAGCCATGCCTCGTGGCCGGATGAAGAGCAACTGTGTCTTGGGAGTGTTGAGGAGCAGGCCAATGTCCTCCAGCCAGGTAGCAAGGTTTGTCATGGCTTGCGTGAGGGTTCTGCACACCATAGCAGGGTCAGAATGGGAGCAGTCGATGACAATGTCATCTGCAAATTCTTGGTGCTGTACAGACGGTGGAGTTTACTAGTGTAGAGCACAAAAAGCAATGGCCCAAGGGCGCTACCTTGGGGAACACCACGGGAGAAACTGACGGCTTCACTACCAGAGTCCAGAACTTTGACACTCTGGAAACGCCCTGAGACGTAGTCAGCAAACCAATCCAGGCCGTTCCAGCTATACAAAGGGAAAACAAAACTGTAACTAGACATTCATGCTTAACACGGCTGGTGTGCCTCCAGATAGACAGTGAGCTGGACGATAGTTCTGGGGCAGGGTTCGGTTGCCACACATTGGACTGAAATGTGACACTTTGAAGGTTGGTGGAACCTGTCAAGTTCCAATAGACAAATTGATAATGCTGGTGAGATTCGATGCAAGAACAGAGGCATCTTCATGTGAAACTGGCTGGAAATTGGATAGGGATGTCTCCAATGCTGGCCCTGCGAGTCGCTGAAGGTTCAATGTCCGAGCTGGGTCATGGACAATACTACCAAAGAGTGAAGTTAGTTCTGTGATGGATGCCTGTGGCTCAGACGTCTCTTTCTTCCAACCAGCAACTGCATTCATGATTGACCAAAGTCTTCGCTGGTCACTGGTGTTGCACTGTGCAGTGAAGAACACGTTTCTTAGCTTATGATCTAGCTTCCCTGCTGCAACCCTTGCAGCTCTATGTGGGTTGCGTAGCTCCTCATTTTGTTTGTCCCGCATCAACAAGCGGTGAAGCCAGTTCCGTTCCCTCAAACGGGCTACTGGTGCCGCATTTAGCCATGGACAAGGACGGGTGTCCTTTTTTTGTCGGTGTACTACTGGGGCATGGTCATTCAGAGTAGAGAGGAGAGCGGAGGTTAGGCAATTTGCCAATGTGTCCACATCTGCTTGCGCCTGCAGCGTGCTAAGCTTGTTGCTAAGGTCTACATTAAACTGTTCGCAGTTTATCTTATGTAGTCGGCGACTATGATTTGGGCGGTCGGGTCTTGTGATGTCCAGAATGCCCACAAGCAATACGAGCAAGGTGGGAAATTCCGAGGGGTGTCATAGGCGATGCGTATCATAGCGCAAGGGTCAGGTGCAGGCGTGAAGTTGCCAAGTCTTCAGACTTGGGGCTATGCAGCAGTAGTTCCAGCGTGAATGATATAGAATAGAGCTGGGGACAAATGCCAAATCCACACATGCCCACACCACTACACAAACATACACTCACACTCGCTTCCTTTTCTCACATACACATACACTCACACGCGCGTCCACACATTCATTCTCTATATCTCACACACCCACATACACACACATTCATTCTCTATATCTCACATACGCACACACACATTCATTCCCTATATCTCACACACACACACACATTCATTCTCTATATCTCTCTCAGACACACACACATTCTCCAAATCTCACACAAACATTCTCTCTCTCTCTCACACACACATACACACGCACACACACACACACGGCCACAATACTCATCCTTTCATTCTCACACCTGCCGCACACATACTTGCACCCGCACTTATCCAATAACCCACACGCACTCTCTTTCTCACGCGTGCACACAAACACACTCACATATGCACGCTCTCTTTCCCACGCATGCACACAAACACACACACACTCACACATGCACGCGCACACTCACACACACACACACACACACACACACACACACACACACACACATGCGCGCGCACACTCACACACACACACACACACACACACACACACACACACACACACACACACACACACACACACACACACATGCACACTAGGCAGCGGGACTGCCAGCTAGATTCACTTGACCTTGCGGGCAAATTTGCAAAGGTAGAACTTGTTTTCATGACGACACTTGGACACAAGCTCTGACCTCTTGTTGAGGGAGCGGGTCTTGTCGGTCCAGGCAATCTCTAGCTTCTCGGCCAGACACAGGTTGCAGCGCTTCGAGATGTTAGAGTATGGTGCGGCTCTCCTCACAACGGACCACCTGATACTGTAAGGTTTGTTTTCATCCTTCAGTCTCCAGATGTGTCTGGACAGTCTCTTTGAGGTCTCGTGCTTCTTGTGGCGAATAGTATGTTGCTGACCATTGAATCGTGTCTTGATGGTCCCTTCCGTTAATCCAGTGTACTCCTTCATATCGCTGCCGGTTACATGTGCCCTGTACACAATGCTCGATGCTAGACAATTTCCTTCCAAGGGGCAATCAGTTTTGACATGGCAGTTGCAGGT